GGGGTGAGACAATGTGAGAGATAAACAATGCCTAGCTAGTCTTAAAAACCAGAGGGAACCATATTACTCCTACAAACTACTGACAAATTACAAATAGTAGATTAAGAAATATATGTCTAGGTAAGGTTTATCTGAGAACAACTGGTGTTTGCCCAAGATTTATCTACATGACACACAGTAATTAAAAGTACCAGACTGGTGGAACTAACCTTCTTGGACATTTAACAGACATACTTTGAGGCCTAAACTAATTTGGTCTGAGGGACATAAAGTACAGTTTTTGCTCCTCATCCTCCTAGGCTGACTAGTTCCAGGGGACTATGAGCATCTCTCAAAAATGTCCTGTAATGGTGGTGGGTCACCTGTCCTCTTGATCAAGGAGGCCGAGGAGGCCCCACCAGATGGACTTGAACCAGGGTCCAGTCTACAAAAAGGAGGGTCAATGCAGAGGAATTATTTCTTCCATGCTTCCAAGCGAAGCCAGCCATGGTCGAGCAGGGCCTTTAACTTATCTTCACATAGGCCGAACTGGTAAAAAGAAAGGAGCCAGGGGCTCCTCCCAAGCCCATGTGACCCCTGAGGAACAGATCCTCAAACAACCTTGAGAGTAAAAATAAATTGGCTTATCTGGGCCAACTGTATGGCCTTAAACACCCAAAAGGAAAATATAACCAAAGATTAAAGGGACCAATATAATTTTTTAAGAGTCCATATGCATAGCTAAAGGCTACATAATAAGCAACAATGCCAGATAGGAGATACCTAGTTGTTTGCCAAGGTGGCCAAAGGGACTCCCAGATAGTAACCCAGCATAGAACTGGGAAAATGAACAGCAGATCCCAATCTTATCTAAAGGAATACTGACAACTGACTGCTGCTAGATGACAAACAACTGACCCTCCTAAAACAAAGACCTCTAGATAGGCTGACTAGATTCACCAGATGGACAAGTAGTGGAGAATGACTGGGGGTGCCAACAACACAGCACACAGTAGCAGGGATATCAGAGTAGAAGGGCTCTAGTAGGGGGAGGGAGGCTACGGGAGGGTGCCATCTGGGAAGTGGGTATATAGTTGAATAAGATGGTTTGAGATGTTCTGTGTGATACACACACATACAGGCGCGTGCACACACACACAAATCAAAAAAATGTATTATATTTGAGGAGGAAGCATGGAAATTTACGTCATGTTAATTAGTATAGGTGATAAACATTACCACTGAAATCTACCCAATGACTTCATAGACATACACAGGCACCAAGAATCCAAGTGCAACCAATTATGACTAGTAATAATCAGATATATACAGATTAGAGATGCATGTGCAACATCTCAGTGTTAGTAGCAAAAACAGTGAGTCTTTTTGCAAGGAACAATATAGTCTAAAATGAAATGGAAATCTTTAAAAAGGAGATATTTTTTAAAGACTAAAAACTCATTAAATTTAATGTCTTACAGGGCTTATACTGAGTTCAATATTGTATAATTATATTAATTCTACTGTGAATCTAGAAACTTACAGTCACTTGTGAAAGAGATGTACTCTTACTCTGGAGTGTGTTACTGAATATGTAAAAGCTGTAATGAAATGCTTCTTCTAATCATGTAGTAATTAAAAATTTAAAAAATGATTAAAAAATTTTTAAAAGACCATGAAAAAAAAATTAAAAGTCACTAATGAAACCCATCATTTTGTACAGCAAATATACACTAATAAAAATTCTTTCAAAGTGTGTAAAACTCTCACTGTTACTTACAAAAAGCAAATCTGATCTCATAATCAAGATACATTATAACTTAGAAATCTTTTTTGTCAAGTTCAAAAAAAGAACTCTCATTTGAAATCCATATTATGAAATGTCATGATATTTGCAACTTAGTTTCAGAGGGGCTCTGTATAGGAAAAATGTATATACACAGGCACACATACAATCTTTGGAAATGTGAATAAGCAGCAAAATGTTTCCAATGCTGAATCAAAGAAAGGTATACTCATGCTGAGAGTATTTTTAAAGTAAAAAGTTGGGAAAATAAGAGACTCTTAATGGCTTCCAGTAGTTGTGGACTTTCAGATATAATCGTGTGCCTCGTGTGTGTATGTGTGTGTGTGTGTGTGTGTGCGTGTACAGTGTATACTTTTCTGCCGCAAGACTCTACCCACACTGAAAACAACCGTTACAGAATTATGTTATCATTTAAACAAAAACAAAAATACCCACAGTACTGGGAAGAGTTCTTTTTCTAAGTAGGTTTAAAAGGTTACCATCAGTGAATTAATTGCTTTACCTGAAAGTTAACATCTTCTTTCTTAAATATTAGTGCTCGAACTTCATCAGGATCTCCATTAAATATAGCTTGCACCAGTGACGGCTAAAAAGTAAAGTAAAAAAACATCAGCCATGTCATTTGTATAATTATAAAGTTATTTTCATATAATTTCTAAAACTAAAGTTTTTCTCCCCTGCAGCCAACTGTTTTTTGAAGGGGAATGGGGACACTATATAATCAGACATTTCAAGAAACCAAATTATATCAAAGTACAGGGTTTTATCCTTGGTGGGGAGGGGGAAGAAGCCTAACTTAAAAATGTATTCATTAGTAAATTTGATCAAATTAAAGAAATAAAATCTGTGTCTATTATCCTAATTAAGTGAAAACATACATATGAATAAAGACAAAGACATACAAATATGAATCTGACACCTAAAATTTGTTTGTGCAAAAGAACTGGTCAAATAAGCAATTCCCAGCCCATACTAAGGGCTGTGAAAGGAGATGATTTTGAAAGGGCCTATTTAGGGCATGAAAGTCACATGCGCAGGCTAACACTACATGTGTCCAAAGATATAAATCCTAAGAAAGAAAACTTGGCAACTGATGAAAAATACTACTCAAAGAACAGAAAATATTGCACATCGGAATTAACATGGTAAGATAAACATACGCATGTCTAAATATAATTTCCTGATCAACAACAAAGCGTCTGTAAGGTATCATATTTTACAAGTCAAATAAGGGGTCAGTTGACAACAGAATTAAAGTTAAGGATGTACAGTCTAATTCTTTTTTTATATAAAGTCTCACATACAGATATGTAAAATTCTTTATAGAGTCCCTAATTCTTTTCACTTCAGTTCTAAAACCAAATGAAACAAAATGAAAACAAAAACACAGCTTTTCTAGCTACTTAATTTAAGTACTTACAAAGAGATTAACAGATAAAGTCTGAAAGAGGTATCTAAGCAGTTTAAACACTCAGAAGTGTGTTCATTTACACACAGATAATACTGCATCACACTGATGCATACATTGCTTTGAGTTTCTAGTGAAACTAGTGAAAACTAATTCAATTTATTCTAAAAAAAAATTACATCACTAGCTCTGTAAAACATAAGCAACATAAACTCTAATCTTACCAATACATTTCCAGAAGGTGGAGAATGTAGAGATTTATTTTTCTGTGGCAATTTAGAAACGAATGTAGGAGAATCATCTTCTACCTCCTCCAACACAACAATACACACTCGACTCATTCGCTCTTTTAAAACATTAAATCCCAAGCTACGTGATTGAAGTCACAGCTGGAAGGGCACAAGTAGTTTTTCCTCCTCTTCTGTACAACACTTACAAACATTCTCTGAACAGCACAGCTGGTTTTATAACATTAGTATGTATTATCAGAGAAACTGAAGCTTAAAATTATGATACATAACTTTTAACTCCCTAAAAATAAAATCCCACTACTTTCTGCCAGGTTATCAAAATAAAGCTCCACATTAATGTGTCAATAATTAAAACCAAGTCCAGTATTAGCTCTTTTAAAAATACTTTTCTTCCACCAAAATAGTTACATTGCGCTGTGAAATTTACTTGTACAAAACGATGATTACTTTGGGTGATACACCACCACACGATAAAAAATGAAATTAGAAACAAGTGCAGTGACGGAGATGAACACAGCTATACCCACTCCTGCCTGCAAGGTCATATAGTTACCAATAGGCTGGCTGGCTAACTGAAAAAAAAAAAAAAAACCCAAAAAACGCACTATTTTGTTTTTTGATTCCACTTCTAATTTGTCTTCATTTCTTCAGCTTCACTCATTTAATATAGACATTATCCATGAAACAAACAAATAAAAAACCTAGAGGTCAGCACAAATCCTGAAAATGAAGTTCAGAGTTGACAACTCTGTGTTTAGAGGAAAAAAAGAAAAAGAAAAAACAAAAACACAACACTGCAATAATAGCAAAGCTGCAGTATATTTACATGTGATGAGTCAGATCACAAGAGACAATAGGACTACTGGTACTAGAATACAGCTTGATTAATCCAGATTTCCCATATAACAGAAGAAACACAGAGAGCTTTATTCCCATCAATAACACCGGCAAGGCAAAGCTTTCATTCTTTCTCCATCAGGCAGCTGTTTGTGGCTGTTCTAGCAAAAAGACACAGGCACCAGGCAGAAATGGAGATAGTGGAAAACCCTAATAGAACAAGCAGACAAAAGAATTAGAAGACCTGTGAGCTCAAATTACTGCTTCAGAGTTTTCATTTTAAAAAGAGAAGAAAAAAAGTAGTTTATCATTCCAGTATTTCCTTTGATCTCCACATGAATACAGCTTCCATTAAATAGTCTTCATTCAAAGGGAAAAACAGCAGACTGTGCATCTTCTCTAAGCAACTATTTTATTCAATCATCTGCCTCTATGCCAATATACTTTTCTTCCTTGCTGAAAAACCGTTATAGCTATCCTTTTCAGTTGATTTCAGATGCTTTCCTGTTCCTCAGATGATCTTGCAAAATGCCGCTGACATCGTCTCATGAGTAGGCCCTTGAAAAATATCTATAGAACCTCAGGATCAGCCCCGAAGAAGCACTCCAACTGAGCAACAGCCTGACTGAGAGCAAAGACTGCAGACCCGCAGGATGAAATGCCTAGTAATGCTCACATGCTACACTTACCAGAGAGCTGAGCGACTGCTCAGGATGTAACTTCCTCTAGCAGGAGAAAAAAACAGTGCATTTGGACAGCCTTCACAATTAGAAGGTTCATGCCAGTTCTGTGACTAATCCAGATCAAACTGAAAATTTCTATAACTGAAAAATGAGGGCGCTTTTAACATTTTCCACTAAAAGCCACAAGGAAATCTGGTGTACTGCCTCTGCTGACTAACAGTGGTTTTAGCAAGTAAACAATTCCAAACAGCTTAACTGCTTTCGTGTGCTGTAGCATAGCAAGGGCTTAACTCTATGATGACAGTTGCAGGAAGGACATGCCTGCAGTAAATCCATAAAAGATCTGAAGGGGCCGGGTGTGGTGGTGCATGCCTTTAATCCCAGCACTTGGGAGGCAGAGACAGGTGGATCTCAGTGAGTTCAAGACCAGCCTGGTCTACGTAGTGAGTTCCAGGAGAGCTGGGGCTACAGGGAGACCCTGCTTCAAAAAAGACAAAAACAAAACCAAAAAAACAAACAAACAAAAAAAAACTGAAGGGGAAGGAGAAACGTTTTATAAGACTGAAAACCATGAACCTAAGTTACAGTGGGCTACTCTTATTTTTGCCAAGATCTCCCCCACATGTTATTTTTTAAAATGCAAAGAAAAAAAAAAGTTTTCTAAGTTAACAAATTTATTTACTGACTCATGCTTTTCAAGAAAAAAATTAAGAGGCTGGAGAGATGGCTCAGCGGTTAAGAGCACTGACTGCTCTTGCAGGACTGAGGTTCAATTCCCAGCACCCACATGGCGGCTACAAACTGTCCTTAACTCCAGTTCCAGGGGAGTCGGAAGCTCTCTTCTGACCTCTGCACCACTGCATGACACGGGTGCACTCACATACATGCAGATAAGACACTCATACACATAAAATAAAAATAATGAATAAAATATTTTAAAAAATAAAAGAAAAAAATTAAAACTTTATAGAAGTAGAAATCTTAACTCTGAAATTCTATGAATCATTTGAATTTTCCACTGAAGAAATGCTACCTTTCTACTTGAACATGTTACATGGTCTTACAAACTTATTAAACAGCTCTATCAAACAACTGTTTCAAGTTCCTGACCTGAACTATCTGCATGTCAAAAGAGCACAGAATATCACAAAGAAAAAGAATCTCCTTCCCTATAAAATAATTTTCCAAAGGCTACAATTAGGTGTTAAAACCAACTACTGTAGGGCCTGGGGGTGTAGCACTTACCTAGCATGTACGAGGGGGGGGGGGCTGAGTTTGATCCTAAGCACTGCAAACAACAACTACAACAACTACCACCACTACCACCACCACCACCCCACTTTGCAGTTGGCTTCCACCTCCATTTAAGCCTTTCTGTTTCCCCACAATGGGACAATTTCCCAACAGAAAAACTGTAAACAACAATAAAATGCCATGCCCCCCATCTATACTTCCCCCCCCCCCGTCTATCAACTAGTATTTTCACAAATAACTGTAACTTATTCTTGAACATTTACGATATCCTAGGTGCAGAGAATGCTCACTTTAATACACTAACTTCCATAGTCTGATTTTATGGGGGGGGGGGATGGACGGGACAGGACCGACACCAATACCCCCAGAAGTATTTTATCCAGTCATCCAAATTACTAAAATGCTTAATATCAAATACATACAACATTCACACCCCATCAAGATTTTCATAACTATAATTCAACGTTATAGAAGTGATTGTGAAAGATAACTTATAATAACCATTAAAAAGTTTAGGTAACATGGGGCTGGAGAGATGGCTCAACACTTAAGAGCACTGATTGCTCTGGCAGAGAAGATGGGTTTGGTGTTCAGTTCCCAGCACTCACACAGCATCTAACATCCATCTGCAACTCTAGTATAAGGGGATCCAATGCCCTCTTCTGGCCTTTGCAGACACTTCATGACAAGAGTGCACTTACATACATGCAGGCAAAACACGTATACACATTATATACATGCATATATATTAAAGTTTAGATAACAAAAGAATATTACCTATTCACGAACAAGTTATTTTAAAAAATATTACCTTTATTTTATCTTATGTGCATGAGGGCATTGCCTATGTGTTTGTAAGTGCACCTGTGTTGTACAATGCCCACAAGTTTTTGAATGAGTATTGCAAAGCTACGTTTGTGTATTTAGGTCAATTTGCTTAACAAACCATGAAAAGATAAAAACCACAGGATATAGGGAATGTAAGAATGCCAAAAAATTAGGGCCAGAGAAATGATCAGTAGTTAAGAGCACTTGCTGCTCTCACAGAGAACTCATGTTTGATTCACAGCACCCACATGTCGGCTAACATCTATTCGTAACTCCAATTCCAGGGAACCCAACACTTTCTTCTGCCATCCACAGGAACTGTATGCACATGGTGTACTTGGATGCATGCAGGCAGAACACTCGTACACATAAAATAAAATAAATGCCCCAAATACAAACAAAACCACTGAAAATTATTAAGTATCAATCATGGAAGAACCTATGTAACTTTCACATGGGCTCGGCAGTTATTTTACTGTTGGAGGTAGGGAGTGGGCCCTTGCTGTGTCTCCTCAGGCTGGCCTTGAACTTTTGGAATCAAGAGATCCTTCAGCTTCTACCTTCCTAGTAGCTGGGACTCCAGGAGAATGCCACCATGCCTGGTTCTACTAGCTACTTGAAAAATACGAATTTATTTTTCCTCCTTTTTTTATTTTTGTTTTCGACAGTCTCCCTAGTCCTAGTCCGCCTGGAACTCGCTATGTAGATATTAGAGATCCACCTGCCTCTGCCTCCAAGGGCTAGGATTGGAGGGCTGGGGTGTGTGGGGCCATTACACCCAGTATAAATATATGAAATGTTTTAAGCCAAATATGTAAATATTTTAACACACAAACATGTTATCCATCATCATATGGTTGAACCAAATACATTACCCTAATACTTAAAATATATAAAAAATTATAGTAGCATCCTATGTTCATTTTCAGGGTTCCTCTCTGAAATAGAATCCTTTTATATGGATAATTTAAACTTGTTTCAAAGTATCTAGTATATAAGTTTACCTACTTAGACTTAAGATACATCCTATTTCTTGTTCAAGCCCAATTTCTCTACTTAAGGTTTTCCCAACCAGAAAGCAAACTCCTTGAAGGCAGGGACTATGTTAGATACATAGTCTGTTCTTTTCCATGTCAACCTATAAACAATTTTACTGAAATGAACTCTGTCACAAGACTCTGGAGTGATCTATCTCTATTTCTCTCAGTGTGGAGGGAAGTATACATATATTTTAATCAGAAAATGAAGGTGGCATTAAGGTACAAAATCAGAGTTTTCTATTCCTAATAAGTAAGCAACTAAAACTCAGTAGATAAAATAGTAAAATTTGGGGCTAGAGATATGGCTCAACAGTTAAAAGCACTGCCTTCTCTTTTAGAAGACTTGGGTTCAGTTCCCAGCACCCACCTGGTGGCTAACAACTGTCCCTAACTCCAGTTCCAGGGGATACTATGCCCTCTTCTGACCTCTGCAAGCATTGCACAATACAGGGTACAAATATGTACACGTAGGCAAAACACTCATACACATTAAAAAAAAAAGATAGTAAACATTTATAAGATGATACAGGATGATGCTAAAACTAAGGACTTGACAATTAAGTCCTGCCTAAATTTCAAATTCAGGTTTTATCACTTATTAGTTGTGTTCTTGGACAAATTACTTAATTTCCTGGAGACAAAGTTTCTTCATACTTTAATAAAAGAATAATAATCTTCAGAAAATATTGTGAAGAAAAAAGAAATTCTACGGTAGCTTAGTACTTGACAATGTAGGCTTTGCTTGGAATTTTAATCCACTTCCTACTAACTTAGTCCTATAACCTTGTACAAGTTATTTAACCTTTCTGGGTGCATTTCCAACATCTAAGTGACATCAACAGAATCTTCTTCAGAGTTGTAAATTCAAACAGGGTAATTTTATTATTATGACTATTTGGGATAGATAAATTTTCTTGTAAAGCCAGTAAGTAGATAAAAGATGTAACTCCTTAGCCAGTCAGATAATTCTTACTACTGGAGGTTCTGCTCATTTGCTGAGTACCCATACTTTCCAGACTACTAAAAGCTTGTCTTAGACTTTAGTACTCAGATGAGTATTTGTAAAGTACTATTGGGTGGAGAAGCAGTACTCAGGCAAGAAAGAAGACAAAACGTTTTCCCATTCTTCTACATTCACAGTAATTCAGTTTTGAGAAAGAAGGGTAGAAATTACTAGCCCATAAACTCAAAGATAAATGAAAAATACCAAGAGACACATAGTACTTTCAAAATTTTTATTACTTAAATCAGTAGTACTCTCTGCCCCAGAGAAGACTGCTCGCCAAGGAACTTTCATATTAGAGCAATATGAGATGGATGTTTAAGAAATTATAAATTGAGAAGTACTTCTCATGAAAAATTACTGATGATTGTGTAAAAAGTTCACCCCCCCTTTCCAATTAGAGAAACAGCAATAGTGTTTGCTTTTTTTCCTTTAGCTTTTTCTTTTTTAAATCCAAATCAGGTTACGTATTTTTTGTTTGTTTTATTTGTTTTTGAGACAGTCTCTCTATGTTGCTCAGGTTGGCTTCAAACTGCTGGGCTCAAGTAATGTTCCTACCTTGCTCTCTCATCACACTTTCAGGACCCCGACCCTCTACATCAGCTTATATCATAGGGCCCTAATTACCATTTTTAATAAACTAAGAGACTTAACCTTTATAATTTCATAATATTTCCATTCTTTACACAAAATTTATCCTAAAAAATATTTTAAGTTTTAGCCAAGAGTGGTGGCGTACACCTTTAATTCCAGCACTGTGAAATCCGGGCCAGCCTGGTCTACACAGTGAGTTCCAGGCCAGCTGGGGATACAGGAAGACTGTGTTTCCAAAAAAAATTTTTTAATCCAAAGCCTTTATTTTAGCATCTAGCCTCATGATTGGAAAATGAAGTGTTAACATACCAATGTTACCTAAAGCTAGTAAATTCAGAAGTTTTTTAAGGAGGCAAGACCTGGCCAATTCTACTTAAAGTCTAATAAACTAATAATCTTAACCCTCTTTTGGTAAGAATACTTATTTTTAAAACATTTACCAAAAATATCATAGCATTTAATTCTACAAATACAGTCATATTTCTTCTAGATATACATAGA